TTTCTAAATATTGATAATTGCTTCATGGATCATTGGATTGTGGTTAGGGCTGTAAACGAACTGAACGTTCGGCAAACCGTTCGTGAACTATTCGGCAGGAAGTTCGTTTATGTTCGTTTATTTAATAAATGAACGAATATGAACAAAACTTATTGTTCGTTTAGTTAAACGAACGAACATGAACAATGGTCTTGTTCGTTCATTTATGTTCGTGAACGTTCGTTTATGATGTTTGTTTACGTTCGTTTATGTTCGTTCGTTTAAGTTTATTTATATTCATCTATATTCAATTAATTTTTATTATATTGATATGTTATATGTTCGTTTATGTTCATATATGTTCAACTGTGTTTTTTTTTATCTTTGTTCGTTTATGTTCGTTTAGCATGTTCACGAACATAAATGAACGAACATGAACAAAGTAATTTGTTAAACGAACGAACATGAACAAGAAAATCTCGTTCGTTTATCCGTTCGTGTTCGTTTGTTGTTCGGTTAACTTAAACGAACGAACATGAACAAAACCTTGTTCGTGTTCGTTTGGTTCGTTTACAGCCCTAATTGTGGTATTTTTTTAGTTTCAAAACATCAACTTAGAAACAAACGAGCACTGGAAACTGAAAAGATTGTAACGAATCCAACGAATCCCAATTTTTCCTAAAGAATCTCCTACTATCTTTGCATTTCTTCCTACTTCTTGTTACGATAACTCAAATAATATTAATAATAATAACAACAACAATTATTATTATAATACTAATCAAGTAGATTAGTCCTACACAATCTACTCATTCACAATCTACTCATTCAGTTTGATATCTTGACCTCTTTCTGTGCGAGTCGCCACCGTGCACAACTGTTTCGTCATTTACAGCGCCACCCTCTCTGCCACTACCTAGGTACCTCAGCTGCGCCATTGGTGCTTGACGTCAGCAACTTACTGGAGGTATATTTTAAAGTTTTATACAAGTGATCAGAATAATTTACATCTCTATGTTTTACATCTCTATCATTAATTTACTGCTTTACTTTATACTACTCCCAAAAATAACCTTCGTATTAAATACTCTTGTATCTTTTGTTCCTACCAATTTTTTTATTTAAAATTTAATTTTATCTAATGAGTAGAAGATTAATGTAGGAGGGTATTTGATTATGTAAAGACCAGAAATTAAATATCCTCCTATGTTTTGTACTTACCAATCTTTTTTTTATATAAAATAATAACATTTGGAATCCGTTAATGCTCTTTTATAATCATCTTTTTTTTTGACACCTGATTAATTGATGGGTAAATGTTACTGTAACCCAACGAACTTTCAGATTTTGGTTTAAATAGTCTCTTGTGATATTTTTTTTGCATTATAAGGGAACGAATTCAACTCTTACCGGTTATTTTGGCCAAGTCACCTGTAATAATAGGTTACTGATGTCAAAAAGAGTGTCACATAGAAAATAATATGTTGATTTGTAATTATATATCTCTATATCGGTCCTAGTCAACAAATATTGGTCACCACCACCTTCTTCCCTTATTTCCTTCTTCAAATCGTCTCATTCCCTCCTTCCATCCTGGTTTTCTTTCTAAAATAAATGAAAGCATTTTTTTTTATCTTGGGTATGAAATTGAAGATGAAGGTATCCCTATCAAAATTAAACCCAAATCAAACCTCACCATTACTTCAGAAAAATAAAAACATCACAGGTTTGAAACTATGACCGTCCTGTTTACCGAACCCTATATATCGTTGCTTTGGTTACCGTCAACGATGATGCCTCCTTTTTTCGTTGCTCTGCTTCATCTCTACTTTAGCCACCAGCCGGTGAAAGCACTCCCCTCCCCTCCACTCACTAGTTGACCCTTCCCACTGCCCAAATCAGATCAAGATTGGGAGAGATCAGGGGATGAAGATCATGTGTTTATGGCTGGAGGATGAAATTAAGCCTAAATCAAAACCCCACCATTAAAAATTGAACCCAGATGAAATTAAGCCAAAATCAAACCCAACGTCCTGAATGTTCAAGAAAGAAGAAGTAGAGCTTTACGAGCATATGATGGATAGTCCTTACAAGCAGTTTTTGGATCAGCCTTAGGAGCTTCAAGGCCTCCTCAAATTTCCTCTCTAACAACAGTTTTTTGATCAAATTCTTGTAAGTCGCCTGCCATGGTTTCACCCCACCTGTCTTGTCTCAGTCATTTCAACAAGCACCTAGTGTGCTTCAATGGCCTTATTTTGACTCAATAACCCATGTACCAAAACGTCCAAAAGATCTGCATCAGCCTTGCAACCTTTCTCGATCATGTTGGCGAAAATGATCAGAGCTTTGTCAACTTCATTGGCTAAACAGTGTCCCTTGATTAGAATCATCCATGTCTTGATGTCAGGATTGCAACCATTTGCTTGCATTTCATCGAGCACCTTGGCTGCATCTTCTAGTCTTCTGGCTTTGCATATACCAAAGATTAATTGACTGTAGGTTATGTTATTGGGTTCGTATCCTGCATCTTTCATGGCTATCATCATCTTCTTGGCTTCATCAAATTGACCTACACTTGTTAATGATCTATAAATACCATCATAAACGCTTTTTGAAAGAGAGTTTCCCGTGGCTTCAAATTTATTTACTACCCGAAAAACAAGATCCAAATTTGGTGAAATGTTGCCTGCAATGGTTTTTAGAAGAACACTACAATGTTGAATTGAGGGCTTGTAAGGACTATCCATCATATGCTTGTAAAAAACCTGGTTGAGGACGCTCGACATCACAATCACGGGAGGTTAACGAAACGTTGGAGTCGATTCACGTTTTTGGCAGGGTCTCTTGACCTAGATCTGATTCATAGAGGTTACAATATAGAGAAATTCATCGATCCCATAGAGGGTCATTGTGACATCTCAAATATTTAGACATGTGGCAAGTGAAGTGGCCTACTTGTCTAATGGTACATGATGAAAAAGAAGGGGTTCACCGTAACCCACCAAAATATGAAAGTTGCGCAGAAACAAAATGTAGGATAATATTTTCTTTCGCTTAATTGATTTTATTTAATGATTTTATTTAATGAAAGTTGCGCAGAAACAATACGTAGATCGGTAGATGGACATTTTCTTTCCCTTAATTGATTTTATTTAATGAGTAGGAAGTTGCGCAGAAACAAAATGTAGGATAATATTTGATTGTGTATAGAAAAGTGAACACTTAAATGACACAATATAAGAAAAAAAAACTTCATACAATACATCAAAATATCTAATATTTGTTTACCAGGTACCACAACATCATTTATTTATATAAGGTTTAAAAACAAAACCACGTAATAGGGAAAAAAAACTATAAAACATATATCCCAATGTTCATCTTTAAAACCCATGCATAGAGCTTCAAGTTACCATAGGTTGTTTTTAATAGCAACCCAGTTACTCTAAACTACCCATATTTAACGACTTTTTTTTTCGTGGGGGGAGACTAATTAATAATATGTGGATACATATGGGCAACAAGTTTTTTAATATGTACAATAAGTAGATGGACATTTTCTTTGCCTCTCCTAGTATAGGTATATAATGGTCTTAACTTATTAAAATATATCAATACCATGTGAAAGTGACAAGAATGGAGGTTTCACCAGATCTAAGGTTGCAATGAATCCAGTTTCTCCATCTAAAGCCAAAAGTTCATTTTAGGCAAGACTGAATCAAGAAAGTCCCAAGAGATAGAAACGAATCAACAATTCAAGATCAACTTTGAATAACATTAAAGTTGATCTTGATGTCATGGGATTTTCTTGATTCGGTGCTTCAAATGAATTTTGGATTTAAATGGAGAAACTGGATTCATAGCGTACTTAGATTGGGTAGAACCTCCATTAATTGTAGTTACTTTCACATGGTATTGACATTTTTTTTTAATTAAACTAAGTGAACACAATAATATACTAGGTACGATCAGTAGAGGCAAAGAAAATGTCCATCTACCGATCTACGTATTGTATCAATCAAAGAGATTATAGTCATGTGGTATCCTCGTGTTCTTAAGGAGTCTTCTGAGACAAAAGGTGTCAAATTAATATTTTAGAGCATCTTGCTCGACACAGTTTTTGTACAGCAGATATGTTATTATCAAACAGAAAAAACGAACCGGCCCACTATATGTTAAAGATCGAGTCCTTCTCTGTTCTTTCTGAAGCTGGAGCTCGAAAAATTAAATCTGACATTTTTGAAGCGAGTGGTCATAAATGGTAAGTTCTTTTTTATGTGGTTCATCTATTTATTGCCATATCTGCCTTTTTATACATGAACTTAAGATTCATAAAACATGTAGGAGACTCGATTTGTATCCAAATGGAAATAAGGAGGAAAACGGTGCCAATCACATTTCTTTGTATTTGAAAATATGCGACACTAAAAGTTCCCCAAAAGGATGGACAGTCCAAGTTTATGTAAATCTTTTTGTGTATGATCACATAGGTCACAAGTACGTAAGCTTTCATGGTAAAATTTTCTAACCTCTAATCTCTATTCAACTAATTTCTTTTTGTTGCCTGCATATATACAGAATATATATAATTAAGTCATTTTGTTGTGCTCATTAATTAGATAATGATCATGGGAATGTGACAAGGTTTCATGAGAAGCAAAGGAAATGGGGTTTTGACAAACTGATATCATTGAAGTATTTTATGTTGGAATCCTAAGTCGATGAGGACTTGGAGACCAAGCAATCTAATTTATGGAAAGTTTAGTTTATGGCAAGTTGGTCATAAGTTTCCTAGTCTAATACAAGTTGGTTTGTTAGGCTATATATATACCTATCTATAATCGAGTTTATGATTATGAGAACAGATTGTAAAAACATTGGTTTTGAGTGATTTTCCAATTAATCAAAGAGTTATTTTGGTTATTTGTTTTGCATTCTTGTTTTCAAAACTTTAATTGGTATCAGAGCTTAGGTTGAGAAGCTGTGAGATCGATTTGTACCTGTTGACGAGTCAGGTCAACATGACAGATACAGGGGGAGAAGGAGAAGCTCCGGTGAGAGTGAAGGAGGTTGGGACAACCTCAGTTTTGTGTCCGATGCTCACATCCACTAACTACACCGTGTGGGCAATGCGTATGAAGGTTGTCTTACGCATCCACAAAGCCTGGACTGTGATTGATCCAGGAACCGATGTCAATGAAGAAAAGGACTGCCTTGCCATGGGTTTGCTATATCAAGCCCTACCAGAAAACCTCATAATGCAGATTGGAGATCAGGATTCAGCCAAGAAATTGTGGGATGCGATTAGAGCACGTAATGTGGGCGCAGATAGAGTCAAAGAAGCGAGATTACAAACCTTGATGTCGGAATTCGATCGCCTGAAGATGCTCGAGTCAGAAACAATCGATAGCTTTGCCGGAAAGCTGTCCGGAATCGCGTCTACATCGTCGGCATTAGGAGAAACGATTGAGGAATCAAAATTAGTGAAGAAATTCCTCAAATCATTACCCAGAAACTTCATTCACATCGTTGCATCTCTTGAACAGGTACTAGATTTAAAATCGGTAGGGTTTGAAGACGTAGTGGGTCGATTGAAGGCATATGAAGAAAGAATAAGGGAAGTCGATGCTGGAGAAGGACAATCGAGGGTTCTATTTGCCGAAAAATCGACCGGAGATGGAGGTGGGTCGTCGACTGGTGGGGGTAACTCATCGGGAACGAAGGGAAATTGGAAAGGATCGATTGGGTCTAATAAAGCAAATGAGTTTAATGGGACTAATGGGTCAAGTGGATCCGGATATAGTGGGTTATCCAGGTCGGGCGGATCAGGCGGGCCCAAAGGGAATAATAGGGTTTCTCAAAGCAGTCGGCCCAATAAACTGTCCAATTCTAATTCTGATTGCAAAAATTGTAATTGTTGTTGTGGGAAGAATCGGAAAAATAGGGAAAAGGATCGATCTAAGGTGATTTGTTTTCGGTGTGACAAACCGGGTCACTTTGCTTCTGAATGTCCGGAACGACTCCAAAAATTAAAAGACGGTGATTTTTCGGAACGTGACGACAGTGACGAATCCGTTTTTTAAATACAGATCGGGTTGAAGAATTCTCTAGAAGGACTTAGAGATTCGGGGGTGATTGTTGGAATCCTAAGTCGATGAGGACTTGGAGACCAAGCAATCTAATTTATGGAAAGTTTAGTTTATGGCAAGTTGGTCATAAGTTTCCTAGTCTAATACAAGTTGGTTTGTTAGGCTATATATATATATACCTATCTATAATCGAGTTTATGATTATGAGAACAGATTGTAAAAACATTGGTTTTGAGTGATTTTCCAATTAATCAAAGAGTTATTTTGGTTATTTGTTTTGAATTCTTGTTTTCAAAACTTTATTTTAAGGAGAGTAGCGGAAGGTACCTATTCAATGATTCATGCGTGTTTGGAGCTGAGGTTTTTGTAGTTCCTTTGTGTACACAACAAGACAGATGCTTATCGATGATAAAGCCTCCTCCAACTATGAATACGTACTCTGGGACTATTGAAAAATTTTCCTCTGTAAAAGAAGAAAAATTAGTGTCTGAGGTTTTCAAAGTTGGGAAAGTCAAGTGGTACATCGGTTTCCGATTCTTTATTCGTTACATTGATTTCTTTTTGTGAATTAGGACACAAACGCGCGCATTATATTTTTGGGATGATCACATGACTTATCTTTGTTTGTTGCTTCTAGGACTCTATCACTCTATCCTAAAGGAAACAAAACAGGAGCAGATACACATTTATCAATTTATTTACGAGTACATGAAGCTGTGCTGCTTCCTGCTGATTGGAGAGTTTATGGAAAATTTGAAATTCGGGTTAAAAAATACGGTGGCTATGACCATTCAGTAATAGGTAAAAGTCATACGTTAATACCACACCCTTTTTCTTAATGACTTTGAGGTGATATATAGTGAAATAGCTTCTTTGAATGTTTGATATTTTATTATTTATATCGTTCATTACTTTTATTATTATGTATATATTAGCTCTTGATGGTTGGTATTCCAATTCTTCCTCGCAGGAACTGATGTGTGGTTTTCCAAATCTGCTCGTAGTTGGGGTTATGCAGATATGATGAAATTGAGTGAACTCCATGACAAGACGAAGGGCTTTCTGTTTAAAGATAGGCTTATAGTTGAAACAAAGATTTCAGCTGTTGGCATTCAAAAAAACTTTATGTGAATCATGTTTAATCATTGTAGTTATTTTTGGTTGACATATGTGGATATAAGAGGTTTATGATATTTAGGATTCATGGATGACTCCAAGCTTACATTTCACACGTTACAACTAGGTTATAGGCTATTATTAGAATAGAATATGAATTGTATTGTTTACATTCTATAAGGTGCTGAAGTGTAAACTCACAAACCCTTGTATCTATATATGATTATGTATGATGAGAAGGATCGACAATTATTGAGCATAATCCAATATGGTATCAGGGAGATTCCTAATTTCCCACTCACCAGCTCCGTCCAAACCCAAAACTCTGCAAGAACCTTCTTCCTCCGGTCGGCACTCATCTTCTTTGTCTCTATTCATCTCTTGATCCTTCTTATCTCTACCATGGAGAAATTACACCCAGCTGCAACCGTCACCAACATCAATAATTTTATTCCAATCATTCTAGTGATTGAAAACGCTCAATACGCATCATGGGCGGAACTATTCAAAATTCATTGTTGGGCATTTCAAGCAATCGATCACATCCTTCCAAACAATGCGTCAACTCCAGAAAAGCCAACCTCTGGAACAGAAGCCGCCAAAGACAAAACGACTACATCAACACCCGACGCTTCTTGGTCGAGAGTATATGCGCTATAGTACTCCAATGGATTTATGGTACAATTTCTAATGACTTACTCCACAACATTCTCAAGTCAGCTCCTACAGCCGTTCACGCATGGGCAACAATAGCCAATATATTTTAGGATAATGCTAACTCCAGGGCTATCTTCCTTTAAACCAAATTGACAAATAGAAAAGTAGCATCCTTTCCAAACGTTAGTGCTTACTGTCAATAAATTAAAGTACTGGTAGATCAATTAGCCAATGTCAATGCCCTTATGTACCTAGTCAAACTCTTTTTCTCCATTTCATTGTTGGACTCAAATACCAGTTTGATGGAGTCACGACTTTTGTACAACAGAACGACCCTCTTCCGGATTTCTCTACAGTCTGATACAAACTTATTATGGAAGAGGCCAGAAAAGCAAACCAGATAAGCTCTAACAGTAACACCGTAAATTTTCAAACCAAATTTTTCATTTTCAAAACACATAAAACTCATATATTGTATTTCATAAAAACCATAAGTGTCTCAAATGTCAACGTAAATCCACAAACAAAAGTCAAATCCCAGAATCCTGAACATAATCTCGACCAAGTGTGTACAATCACGCCGACGCCTTTTCGCGGTATTGAGAAGTACCTGAAACACATATCACACAACATGGTAAGCACGAAGCTTAGTGAGTTCCCAAATATACCACATACACAAATAATAAGCCTCTCGTCGCTATAACTCGGCGTGGACCCTATGGTTTCATGCGTCTCGGTGTGGACCCTCCGGTCATGTGTCTCACTGAGGACCCTCCGGCCTCACAGCTCGGTTTGGACCCTTCGGTCCTGTCTCTGTGGAAACCTTCCGGTCCCACAACTCAGTTTGGGCCCTCCGGTCCTATCTCAATAAACACAGAATATAGCATATATATCACACAGACAAAATGCATAATATTACATAACTCAAGTAAGCACATAAGAGCCTCCGGTCACACAAATATTACCACTCTAGGTAAAGTATTGTGAGAAGACTCACCTCGTAATCAAGCACGTAATAACCTTGTACACGAATCTCGAACTACCCTCCCCCTAACATATATGATAATTAACTCTAATTAACACCCTATTCACAACTCTAAATAAACCAAGGGTTATTCTCTCTCTCTCTCTTTCTCTCTCTCTCTCTCTAACTCTTGGAATGGGTAAAAGACCATTTTACCCCTCTATTGTCCCCATAATCCCTATCATGACCAACCCTAAAGTCAACAGAAGTCAACACTCAAGTCAACAATCCATGTTGACCTGACTCATCGAGTGCATCTATGTGACTCGTCGATTCCCCTTGTTTCTTTTGAAATATCACGAATATCCAATTTAACTCGTCGAGTTGTCTCGTCAACTCGCCAAGTTAACCATGTCCAGACTCATCGGGGAAAACCCTAGCCGACTCGTCGAGTCAGCTCATTAACTCGGCGAGTCGCTTAAGTAAGTTTCTCATTCAGATGTTTTAAGGCAGATCTATCACTCCAAATCCTAGATCTAGGCTCCCAAGGATCGATTGTCACGTAAATTTTCAATTTTTACGTTCATGCATAGCCTAGTTTGCTTAAAAATGTCAATACAACTCAAACAAGGGTGTTTAAGCACAATAACTCTTATATGGCTGAATAAAGCTAGAACCTTTGGACTCTCTGGACCTCACAAGGTCCAGATCTGAAGTCTAGACCTCCTAATAGACTCCATACACTCATTGTCCCAACAAAAGGTGGTAAAATCCCTAACTTCCATATTCAAGAGATCCAACTAATAAGATGAGAAAAATGTAATATTTTTACCTTCCACAGAAGCTCCAAGTGAAAGAATGTTAGATCCTACAACCTCTTCTCATTCCTTGCTTGTATCCCGCTACTTTCCTTCCAAGAGATCCACCAAAACACTCACTATTAGGTCACATACTATCTTTTAGCTTAATGGCCGATTAGGATTTCTCATAGAGGAGTTGGGCAGCTGGTGAGGCAGAAATGAGGATATAAGTTTCCTTAAATAGGCCCTAAACCCAAGGATTTAGGGTTTCATCTCGCAAAGCCTACTCGACGAGTCAGCTCTCTAACTCGTCGAGTCAGTTTTTTGACCCATGTGGCCAATCGGTCACTACTCGACGAGTTGAGGCACCAACTCGTCGAGTTGCTCAATAAATCTAAAAAATAAATAAATAAATAAATAATACATGGGAGTCTGGGTGTTACAATTCTCCACCACTAGAACCAGTCTTCACCATCGAAGTCATGCTCTGGAAATAACTTTGGATACTGCTCTCGCATCTCGGACTCCGGCTCCCAAGTCAACTTGGTCCCTTCCGATGTTACCACTATACCTGAATCAGGGGCACCTCTTTGTTTCTCAGAACATTCACCTTTCGATCCAATATTGCAATCGGCGTCTCAATATAATTCAGGCTCACATCTACCTGAATGTCTGCTAATGGCACTACTATCGTCTCATCGGCTACACACTTCCTCATTTGTGAGACATGAAAGGTGTTAGGAATCTGACTCAACTCTGCAGGTAGCTCCAACCAGTATGCTATATTACGCACTTTGATGTCACTCTGAAAGGACTGATGTATCGGGGACCCAACTTGCCCTATTTCTTGAAACGAATCACTCCTTTCCATGGGGATACCTTCAGGAGGACAAAATCTCCCACCTAGAACTCTAGCTCGAATCGTCACCTATCTGCATAACTCTTCTGGCGACTCTGGGCTGTCAGTAGCCTCTGCCTGACTTGTTGAATCTGCTCGATCGTCTGAGCACTATCTCAATACCACCCATCACTCTTTTCCCTACCTCTCCCCAATAGATGGGAGTCCGACACCTCCTCCCATATAGAAGCTCGAAGGGAGGCATATCAATGCTCGAATGATAGCTGTTGTAAGAAAACTCAACCAAGGGCAGATAAGTGTCCCAAATTCCTCCAAAGTCCATAACACATGCACGCAACGTGTTCTCCAACGTCTGAATCATCCGCTCGCTCTACCCGTCTATATAAGGGTGGTATCTGATACTAAAATGCAAACAGGTACACAACTCCTAATGAAATTTCTTCCAGAATCTAGAAGCAAAACGCATGTCTCGACCTGACACTATCGTTGTCAGCACCCCATGCCATGCTACCACATCTCTCACATAATCTCGGCTAGTCTCTCGATAGAAGATCTCTCACTGATATCAAGGAAGTGATCACTCTTCATCAGCCGGTCCATAATCACCCATATCGCGTCAACCCCACGCACGGTCCTTAGTAGCTTGGTGATAAAATCCATTGTAATCTCTCCCCACTTCCACTGGGGAATCTCTATAGGCTGTAACGGACCATGTGGGCACTGGTGCTCCGCGTTAACCTAACTAGAGGTCAAGCACCTCTCAACTACCCATGCCACATCCCTCTTCATACAGGGCCACCAATAATCTCTCTTTAGGTCCAAATACATCTTAGTGGCCCTGGATGGATCAAGAATCTTGATCTATGCGCCTCCTCCATTAGTATACGCCGAGCTCCACCCGTATAGGGCACCCGAATCCGCCCTCGGAAAATCATAAGCCCACGACTATCCATCTCAAAATCAGACACCTGCCCAATCACCCGCTCCCTCTTGCAGTTCTCCGGTCTAATGGCCTCCACCCGGCCCTTTTGAATAACATCTAAGACTGAAGTCATCACCGTCAACCTCATACACACGTCTCAGATCGGAGCACTCATTGCTTTACGGCTCAGGGCATCGGCTACCACATTAGCCTTGCCCGAATGATATAAGATTCCGCAGTCATAGTCCTTTACTATGTCCAACCAACTCCTCTGCCTCATATTCAGGTTGGGCTGATCCATGAGGTACTTCAGGCTCTTGTGGTCCATGTATATGGTACACCGGACTCCATACAGATAGTGTAACACCGTAAATTTTCAAACAAATTTTTCATTTTAAAATCACATAAATCTCACAACACATTTCACAAAAGTCTCATTTATTTAAGTTACAAACACAACTCCATAATTGTTTGATTAATCTCAGAGTGTTGGATTTGGCCCTATTGTGCAGCTCTTGTCTAAGTCCAACCGTTGTAGGGACGAGTCTTTTACTCGAAGGATTATTTGAGCCTCATCACATGTGATGGTGTTCAGGTTATGGCTAATTGGCATCACAAGGAGGCCTTAAGCAGCTGAGGACTGGTTTGAGTTGAGTTAGAGGTTTCCCTAGGGTAAGCCTAGGATGAGATAGTGTTGGGAGCAGTATTAGTAGAAAAAGGGACCTGGTGGAGTCGAAGCAGTTCTTGAGGAAAGTACGGATAGATATGGAAGGTAGTATGGGCACGTACTACTGAAAGCAGAGGATCCGTACT